TAAACTATATATAAGTTTAATTTAAGCTTTATTTCAATTAACGAAAAGATTTTAATAGTTAACAATAAAACACTTATTCGGATTAACCATTTATTCCGAAAAAGATTTGTATACTCTCAGGTTACTTGGACATTTCTGTATACATGTATATTTACAGTAAAAAAAAAAAAAAAAGCTCATTATTTCATTAAGGATCTGACTGATTGTATTAATTTCCGCGACTTTCTCTAGTTAAATTCTCTAGTTAAATAATATAATTATTTCTAGGTTTCCCCTGACCGTGGGAATCCTGTTAATTCCAAGAGAATTCCCCGAAGCGGCGCATCTCTTGTAAACACAGCGGCTCTCGCGAGATTTCCTCGCGTCGCGCAGCACGCGCAGGAGTGTCTATGGAGCAGTGAGGGCAGGCGGGAGACGGAGCAACCGAACCTGGCGCGGACTGTAGCAAGAGACGCGGGGTGAGAGAGGGTAACCTGCCTGTGACGTCGCTGTGGTGTGTCTGAGCTGCGGTTCCCGGGGTAAGGAACTACCGCAGCCTTTCCACATACAGCCCCTCTAGTAGTGACCACTTGAGTCTTTGCTCTCTCTGTAGACGTGCTTGTCCGATCCGTGCTCCATTCGAGCCTGTAAGGAGGACGCGCACATACTCAGGGAGGCGAGGGAAGCCCATTGGTCTCCCTACCGACGCCAGCGACAGGTAAACAAAAAAAAAAAGACCGCCATATGACTGTAATATCAATGTTAAATGTCCCATTTGACGGAGCGCGTGGCTGGCTGTGACGCAGCTTCGGTTCATTTCAGCCTGCGATAATTCAGCGCATATAAACAGTTGATGCTGCTGCGTGGAGGCTGTGAAGCAGGGGAATGAGCTCTGCTTATGGCCTAGCGTGTTTTTCGCATAATTCCCACTTTTATCTCCCGAGACAGCCCCACCTTCCATTGGCAAATTCATTTTAGTAATGCAAAAGCCTCGACAATACAGAATCTCTGTTTAAATAACTGTAAGACAAGATTGGCGCAGGAAGACGTTCTGTTATTCTCTTTATCCAGCTTATTCATTGCATTTGAGGTAACAGATTCGAACCTGACCGATCAAGACAATGACAGTTTGCCAGCAGCATGTCTGTGAAGGACCATCTGCATGTGGGACTGAGGCTGCTTAACATGAGGGTCAATGAGAAATAAAGATGTCTGGGATGTTTAATGTAATGTTTAATCAGAATGTCATAACTGGATTTTCCTTTGAAACGTCAGACTTTGGCTGGTGAGGTCTGCAGGACATCTCCAGACTTTTAGTCCAGTTAAACCCCACACCTGCAGGCTAATGTTCATCTGTCTTCACTTTTGAGTTCTCAAAATCCAGTAAACATCTGATGGATAGAACTAAGTCCCTGCCCTACAATACATATTTTCTCTTTTGATAATACGTTACACTCGTATGTCTTGGAAATTGAATCTTTGTATTCATGATGGTTAAAAAACATGTCTACAAAATGTTTTAATGATTAAAAATGATTTCATTGCATTTTAAATACATGAGTGAGCATTCATTACTTTTCAAAATAATATTTTTATTAACAAAATTATTTAAAAAAATAAATAATAATAATGCCAAAACTTATTATGCCAACAAATTTATCTGGATCAAACACATGAGCATCATGTCATTGACCCATGATCATTTGTTCTTTTATGTGTGTATATCAATATAATGATGTAGAAAATGCATTGGTTGCTGTCCAACAGTAGTTTGTGATAAATGAGTTATTGTGAAGAAATGTAAGTAATGTGGTCCAATACTTGCTTTCAGAAAGTAAAATAGCTAAGAAAATCATATGAATCTATGTGTGCATAAGTTCAACCTACTTGACTTTTAGTGAGCAGAATTACAGATTTGCAGATACTTTGGGTTCATTTAATCAAGTCTTGCACTGCTCCATTTTTTACTAATTTACTCACTAAGATAACTTGCCTTTTATTGATGGTTTTGTGCTTAACCAGTCTGTCTCAGTTATAGCTTTGTGGTTATAGCTTTTTGTCGCATCAATAGTGTCAGTTGGCCTTATTGATCTTATTATTTGACTGTATATCAATGCCCCATCCATGTAATTTAGATCTGAAACTTTCAGGAAACGGTAGAAAAGATGAAATCTCTTTAGGTGCAAGTTGAGATGAAATTACTGGTTACAAACAAAGCTTGGCATTTCTGGATTCTTCAGACACCCTGAAAAGAGCTGTTTTAGATTAGCGCTTCACTCAAATTGAGTTAAACAAATGTGCTGTGTGTGGTGTTAAACACTGGCGCATATCACACATCTGCTGGTTGTTTTTATTTATCACTTTTATATGACACATTTCTCAGGTTTTTAGAAGTTTTGTGTTCTACATTCTTGGGTGTGCATTCAACAACCTGTAACATCTGACCGATTCAAGTTAAAACTGATTTTGGCAGTTGTTCAAAAAGACACCAATTCATATTTCTTCACTTTAAACATAAGTATAACTTTATAAATCACTTTAGAATTGATTTCTAAAGTCTAAAGTTTGCTTTGCATGAAAAACCCAAAAGCGTTGCTTGTTGTGCTACATAACATTTTCTTCTATAGACTTGTTTGACTGAATTTTTTGAACATCCTGCGAGCCTTATTAATGGAAGAATTATTTTTAAGTAGATTATATAAAACAAGAGCAAAAGACATTATTAAATTGACCTCACATTAAGTGCTCTTCTCCAGCTCTGTGGAGAGAAAGAATAAGAGCACTCCTGAATAATGACTGCAGCAGATTAGCAAAGGTCCTCCGAGTCCTCCGACATCCTCATCTGCCAGTATTCATTCACAAATTTCTAATTTCCTCTTCTTAGGTTTTAGTTAGACCACAGTGTCTTCTCAGTTTCTGTTTGCGGCTGCAGCTTTGGTGGCTGACTGCAGAGAAATCGTTCATTATTCACGTCTCTTTCTGCAACATACAACTCTTACATACAAACAAAACCTCATGGAGATGCTGAAGCTCTCAGTTACTTTTGAATCCATAAGAGCAGTGATTCTCTTGTACTGGGGTGGTGGCATATTCCTTATTGTTTGAAGTTACTAGTTTTAAAGGGTTAGCTCACCCAAAAATGAAAATTCTGTCATTAATTACTCACCCTCATGTCGTTTCAAACCCGTAAGACCTTCGTTCATCTTCGGAACACAAATTAAGATATTTTTGATGGAATCTAAGAGCTGTCTGGCCCTGCATAGACAGCAACGCAACTGAAATGTTCCCAAGTCCAGAAACGTAACAAGGAGATCTGTAATAATCCATGTGACATCAGTGGTTCATCCGCAATTTTACGAAGCTACGAGAATACTTTTTGTGCGGAAAAGAAAAAAAAAACGCATCACCCTGGTGCCATTTTGGAGAATATCAGCTGGACGTAAACAGCGTATGCTGTTCTGTGTCAGCTGCGTCACGCCGGATCTGTTTCCTACATTGTTTGCGCTTTGATTTGAATGAAAACAACATATCCACGTGACGCAGCTGACACAGAACAGCATACAGGTGCATCTCAATAAAAATCATTGACACCCTTCACAAGGAGGGTAAGCCACAAACATTCATTGCCAAAGAAGCTGGCTGTTCACAGAGTGCTGTATCCAAGCATGTTAACAGAAAGTTGAGTGGAAGGAAAAAGTGTGGAAGAAAAAGATGCACAACCAACCGAGAGAACCACCTGTACTTTGTTTACGTTCAGCTGATATTCTCCAAAATGGCACCAGGGTGATGCGGAGGAGTTTAATTGTTGAATAAAGCAGTTATTTTTTTTTTCTTTTGCGCACAAAAAGTATTCTCGTAGCTTCATATAATTGCGGATGAACCACTGATGTCACATGGATTATTTTACAGATCTCCTTGCTACGTTTCTGGACTTGGGAACATTTCAGCTGTATTGCTGTCTATGCAGGGTCAGACAGCTCTCAGATTCCATCAAAAATATCTTAATTTGTGTTCCGAAGATGAACGAAGGTCTTACGGGTTTGAAACGTCATGAGGGTGAGTAATTAATGACAGAATTTTCATTTTTGGGTGAACTAACCCTTTAAATACATAATCAAAGGATATTCATAACTATTGTTTTGAATATAACCATGCAGCACATTGCTTTACATGGGAGCATGCGCTTAATTATTTTTGTGGTGCATCACAGTCTTTGCATGCAAGTGCTGATAGAGCAAACCAAAGCCACGTTAAGAATTTGCTCTTTGCAGCCAAAAGAAGATTCATGAAAAACAATATTAGAAGGGCTTTGTAAACAACTTATTTTGAATGAGTCTTGTTGTAGGGGACTTGTGATGGGAGCTCACAGATTTCCTTTGCTTCAGGGTAACATTAGCACTGATTAGTGAAATTGAAAGTGTTGCTTGGAAAGGGCTGGATTTCACCTTCAGGGATTCTTCTCTGATTACTTGAAGAGAAAATATCCGTCAGTTGTAAACTCTTTCAGGGGACGTTAGAAACTTTGGATGATGCCAATTTGTGTTTGCAGTAGATATCTATCTTTTCACGGGAATAATTTAAAGATCCAGTGCCTGGAGTTCTCTTGCACCTTTTTGTAATATCATAAGTTGCAGTTTGAGGTTTGTAAGATATTTTTTATTGTTTTAGAAAGTCTCTTATATACTTAAAAATAAGTAATTACATTTTAAGAGTACATATTCAGGTTAAACATAAGTACTGTTTACTAAAGTTGTTTAGTTTAACTATTGCATCCACCTGAAAGTTCACATAACACAGTGTAATTAAGTAAATTCAACAAATTTGTAAAAATCAGTTATGTTTACTCACTTTTCTTAAGTAGATTCAGTGATTACTTTTTACAGTGCAGATGCTTGACTGCGACAGTGACGCAGTGGAATTGTGTCTCCTGTCACTCAAGGGAAGCAAAAGGAACAGAGAGTCTGTGCTGCTGCCAGAATGTAGAGGATGATGGGGTTTGGTTGGTAAAGTAGAATTGCCCAACAGCCCTATTAAAAAATGATCACTTAATGGGGATGAAACACAACTTTCCTCTTGTTTAGTCTCTTGTGTCTTTTGCTTTATTGTATGGCCAGTGTTATATTTGATTTGTTTGCATGAAATATTTGTCACCTCCATGAACAGTATACATTTCCTCTGGCCCAATCAAACTGAAACTTTCTATTCCTTAATACCAAAAATACAGTTAATTTCTTAAAGTTTAAAGGTATTCTGGGAATGTAAAAATCCAATAGAGGGCAACAATGATGGCCAAACTTTTTCAGCAGCCTTGATCTGTCTTGAAGTATTTTTGTATTGAAGTTTTTCCCTTTCATTTTCTAATTTGATTTGTTGACTATGTGTATATTATATTATATTAACCAAAATATTCAGATTACAAATATGTAAGTAGTTGCTTAGTGGTGGTACATTTAAAATGTGAAACAATTGTCAAGTAATTGAGAGATGCGGGCTGTACATTAACATGCTATCAGTCAGCATGTTAAAAACCTGTCTGAGAAGTTTAGTCTTTTAATTCACTTTATTTACAGCACCACCATTACAAGCATCAAAACATATTTACAAATAGGTTTATTGGTAAGGTGTTAAAGTGAGATTAAAACCACTTAATACAAAGTCTGTAATGGCCGATCTGAGTGACATGTAATCTGACCAATTGCAGCCCAGAACCGACCGCAGATATCTATAACATCAGACGTGCTGCCAGCGCACTGGAATGAGATGGAGAGTGCCTGTTTCCAGACGCGCTGGATTCCGTTACCTGGACAGAACGCTCTATATCTCACCGATGGAAGCACGCAGAAACGTGAAAATGGTCTTGTTTGAAAGAAGATATCCTAATCTAAAAGATAATATAGAGTATATAATATTTGTGGCTGTTTGCGGCTAACCGAAGCAGTGCTACGAGTAGGAATGTTACACATAAAAAAATCCGCTATTTTTAATTTTTTTTTACATCGCAATTCAATTGAAGATATTTCGATCTAGGATTGTCACACAATGAAATAATCTACATCGTTAAATTCCTGAGAATGAGAGCTTTCTTGTGATATATGACTTGACTTTTTTGTGAAAAATATATAAAATACACATTCTTCGTAAAAAAATTTCGCAATGGTTAGGCAGAAAATCGTGTGTGGGACGAATACATTTCTAAGCTTAATTTTACTGCTTTATGAATATAAAAACCAAAAGGAATGGTATTCTTTGGAAAGAAGACACTCCAAGCTTTCAAATGAACCCATATATGGGCTGATACCATATAAGGAAGGCTATGTAAATGAAGCATACACATTTTTAAGCGATTTTGGACCCGTATCCGGATCCGCAGAGTTTAACTGGTTTTAAAGCACAGAAGTCTGTTGCTGGTTCTTTATGGTGTGGTACTCACTTCTGAGTGTCTTGTCAGAAAACTAATCAGACAAATTACTGCTTTAAAAAATTATAGAAAAAGACTCAAACTGCTGGATGCCGTGAGCTATGTGTTGTTATTAAACACGGTTTTTAAAAATGAAGTTGTAATGATTCTGACTTCTGGTTTCTACAGTAGCATGTCATCGCTTAACCTCCTCAGAGATTAAGGTATGTCTGTCTTGAAAGGTTTAGCATATTCATTAACATTAAAAATAAATTTCTCTATGGATCAAATGAATGGGATTTGTTCTTACTTTTGTGGCAAGCGAGGTCTTTCAGGGTTGTGAGTCACGTACAGGGTTTCCTGCTTGTGTTAAATGATTAAGGGCTTCACCGATATCTCTTTGGACCTTGAATCACCCATGTACTCTGCTTACCATATTAACAGCAGATTAAGGCTGCAGCTAAATGCACACAACCAGGAATTTTCAGTTGGAACTGCGAATACTCTGGCCTCCAGAGGCCCTTTACAGACTGAAGGATGCTAAACATCCCTTGTCTGACCCACATGTGATTTGCTGTATAAAAAAAAAAAAAAAGTATTTATGTTGTGAGGGAGCCCTGCAGATGATTGTCTTTTGTTGGCCCTATGACATTGAGGAAGCTGCCTTGGTCTCCATATCTTTAGGGCTGCAGTCTATCCAGTAGCTGTGATGTCCTCTGTCATCATGTCCAAAAGTCTGCAACAAGCATCATTTGTTAATTATCTCCGAAGGGAAAATAGGAGCCTTTTAGTCATTTGTCTTTCTGTTATAGAGGACACAACAATGCATTACAAATTGTGCATTCAGACAAATGTGTTGAGTGATTTCTTACTTTCCATTTTCTTTGGTTAGAGTATGGTTGTCAAATGTTGGCACATTCTGATTGAGTTCAGGTTAAGACTCATGGTTTGACTCTTCCGCTCTTTGACTCACTCTTTCATTCTGAGCTGATCTGTTTAGCCATTGTTGGTTTACCCTGTTTGTGATCCTAACATGCTGACTTCCCTTTTCTCTGCTCGCTCACATATGAATGCTTGTATGTGACTCGTACGACTGCTTCTGCAAAATCAAAACATTTTTATTAACATTAGCATTTTAAAAGTAAGGAAATGCAGACAAAAATTCTTATCTTTCACACAGTATTTTTTATTTTATTGCTTGACTTCACTGTCAGAGGGGACATATTTTGCTTTATTGTGTTTATGTAAAACTGTCACTGTGCAGTGTGCATGAAACTGCTTTGATGTAATGCTTCAGATTTACATACTTGCTGTGCTATTTGCCATATTTGAGACTGCTTTAAGACTTTATAGGACTCATTTGTGGTATTCACATTGTAATTGTATTTATTTATTCCTTCTCTTTTAGTCCTTCTCTTGGATGATAGTAAGTGTTGGCATTCTGCCACATTTATCAGTGTTGTAATTTGAAGTGCTTTTCCTCATTCTAAAACGATTCAGCTTTCACAGTTTTTTCAATCTGATATATCAAGATTTCAGGTATTACTCATTAACAACTTCTTAAATGATAAATCATCTAAAAATGAAAGCTTTGTCATTATTTGCTCATCCCAAGTTCTAACCTTGTATTGATTTTTTTTTATTCTATGAAAAACCAAATGAGATGTTAGGCAGAATGTTTGAGCTGCTCTTTTCTGTACAGTGAAAGTGAAAGGTGATTTAAATGGATAAATAGTAGTTATGTTATATTGTAATAAAATTTCACAATATTATGTCATCTGAAATCATAGAATAGTTTTGTGTGAGGAACCAAACTTTGTAATTGTGAACACCAAAATTTAAGCCATTATTGACTGATGATCTTGCCCTCCGCCTTAAATCTCATTCGCAAGTTATTTTGTAAGTTGGCTAAAGTTGTTTTTCTTTTAAATAATGAAGATTTTCATCGAGTTCAGTATTAGCGTTAAAGGGGTCATAGGATGCCATTTTCCACAAGTTGATATGATTCTTTAGGGTCTTAATGAAAAGTCTATAACATAGTTTGGTTAAAATTTCTCAATGGTAGTGTAAAAAACAAATTTTTTACCCTGTCAAAAACAGCTCTTTTTAGATCAAGCCGTTTTTGTAGCATTTTCCTTTAAATGTTAATGAGCTCTGCTGACCCCGCCCCTCTCTTCCGAGCTGCTCTCAGAGAGACTGTTTACTTTAGCCGCATTCATCGTGAAACTTGCTAATTAGCACATTATTAGGAAAGGCGATTTGCAAAGATTCATTACGCATTCCCTTCAGAAACAATGTAATCCAGTGCGAGTTCAGCGGCTCAGATGTCGGGAGTAAATGACGACTGCTATGTTCATTATTACATCCAACAACAAAACACCTCAATCGCTTAGGAGTCATTCTTGTCTACATCTGCTCCGGCGGTGAAACAATGGCAGTGAACACTGGGTGGATTTTTATCATTATAGGGTGGTTGTGTACACACACATGTAAAAGTGCATGTAGCATCCTATGACCCCTTTAAATATGTGTTTCTTTGTCCGAGAGAGATGGGTAAAGGGCACTTTTGCAGAAATCTCCCTCTTTCTAGTGTCTATATATACACACACATATTCTAATACGAATGCACGTAAATAACCCAGTACGCACAATAATAACACTAATTACATATGTTGTTTTGTTCTCGTTGAAAGTGCGTTAATACAAAGAAGCTGAGATTAATCATGATAAAACATTTTAATTGACTGACAGCACTAGTATACAGTGTATTCATAATATATTTTGATGAGCTTTCTGATTTGATGGATGAAACCATGCATTTTCATAGTGCCTAATGCTCTCCATCAGATACCACTGCATTTACCATGGGACTGCATGTTTGCTTATTTATTCTCACAGTCGCCCTCATCAGACTTTGTTGCAAGTGTCTGTGTTGCTGGTAAGTGTTAAAGAGTTGTGCATGTTGAGAGTGAGAATGAGAGAGAAAAACAGACATGCAGGGAAATCAGAGAGGCGACGGGGCTTGTATGTCTGCTTTTACAATGACTGTCTGTCAGATTGTGTAAGAACGAAGGGGGGAGTAAAAAGGAGGAGAAGAGTGAAAAATCCACGCTCCTTTTTTTGTTTCTTTCAGGCTGAGTCACTGTCGAGGAGTGGGAAGATCTAGTGAGAGAGAGGGAGACAACATCACGGAGACAGCGGAAGGAGGGGAAAACCGCTACACAACGCCTTTGAGAGCGAAGCAAGAGAGAGAGGCAGCCAGCGAGAACGACGGAAAGAGAGAGACAGAGCGCAGCAGTGAGGGAGGGAGAGAGACGCTGAGGCTGGGAGAGCTGACCCCCCTCCCCTCTCCTCTCCTCTCCTCCTTCCCCCCCCCTCACTCCTTCAGGAGCTGGTGTGTAGGAGCGGCGAGTACAGTGTGACTGAGGCAACATGAGCGATGTCACCATCGTTAAGGAAGGCTGGGTCCAGAAGAGAGGTAAGTAGCTTGTCTCTGCCTGCGTGTTGGTCAGCTAGCTGTGTCGAGGAAGCACTCATGTAAGCGTGTGTCTCCAGAGACGGCTCTCCGTCATGGGCGGGCCACGGCGTGGCTTCAGTCTGTGTCTGTGGAAGCCGGCATGTGGGTGTGCCTCTTCGTAAGCTGTGTTTAGTGCTGGTGTGTCGTTTTAGAGAACATGCGTGTGTGTTCGTGTGCGTCTGCTGGAGGAGCAACTGCATCCAGATTGGTATCCGTCATTTCTCACTGCACTGCTCTCACGTGCCGGGCTGCTATGTTTGACGGGGTTTTCTGTGCATGCTTGCACTCATTCTGATGTATAATGCTCGGTTTGATTAGATTATATTGTAATGTTAATTTATTTGATCAGTACGGCTGGAAAACAAGTTATGTTTAATAATGCCTTTTTTGGTATAATATTTGTGGACTGCAAGGGCTGTTGTGTACAAATAAACACACTCACTCTCTTGTAAGTCAAAGTTAATGTGAAATCCATGTGGGAAGCTGCTCTAGGTGTCCTTATGGGACATAGTGACTCTAAACCTAGGGTAATTCAACCAGGTTGTCCTGCTTTTAGTTTTGCTTGTCTCACTCTCGCTTGTAAAGGCATACACGTGCCTTGTAGCTTCCCTATATGTGTATCCATCCATGCTGACAGAGATATGCAGCAGCCAAAAGTCACTCGTTTTCAGAGAAAGTTTGTAATTTGGTGATGCAAGCAAAAGTAGCTGTTGGCGAAACGATTGTTCAGTAAAGTTTGACTTTATGGGTTGAACCTGCCTGGTTTTTATGAAGTCGGACTGTCAGATAATGTGATTGAAGCATGTCTTCATCCATCATGGATACAAATTAATCGAATGTATACAATTGACCTGGGTGATGCACTTAAGCTGAAATAAAGATGTGGCACCGAATGCATGTTTAAGCCTCCAAATATTTGATTACTCATTGATTACATCTTGTATACTTAGACAAAAAGGTGAGTTCTGTGGCTAGACTATGCAAAATCCCACTCAAATATAACTGCAAGTAAATGTGAAGTTCATGGGATCCGACATCTGGTACTCTTTGAAAGTCATGGAAAAGCAATGAACATTCTTATAGTGAATTAAGAAAGTTTTGTTCTGCCCTAAAGTATTGCATTGGCTGGATATAGTGTAAAACTGGCCCCCAAACCAACGTCATAACATTGATCTGTTTGTTCAGGGTCTTATTGGAGACATTTGTAAGCTAATAAGTAAAGGCTGGAATACACAACACGATGTTTGCCCCGATTTTCTGCTGACTTACAGTCTGGAGAAGTTGAGGTTAGTTGCCGAAAGTCAGAGCCAGTCTGTAGATTTGAGTTGACATTTCATAGAAAATCGCGTAGTGTATGATGGTCACAGACAGATTTTTTTAGCTTCAGACTTTGATTCCATCCAGTCTGAGGATATCAGACAGGTTTGATATTTTGAGACAATTTTAGAAAACATTGTTTTCATTTGTCATGCGTCTCCTTGCAACAAGATGCACGTTTCTGCCTGAGGCTACGTTTACACTAGTGCGTTTTAGTTTTTAAACAGCATTTTAAAATGAAAATGATCCTGGTCTACACTTGCGTTTTCACTGCGTTTCAAAAACGTCCACACTACACAACCGAAAATGCAGGTCACATGACCATTCATGCAGGTACAACAATGAGCATGATGTCATTGTTTACACGGTCATCAAGGATACGCAGAGAGAATGTGGTAATCCACGCCATCGTTTTCAAAAGTCTCCATTTTGGTCCGTTTACACTGAAACGCAACCCCGGAGTTTTCAAATTAAAACGGGGTCTGCAGTAGGGCAGGGTAAATAATATCGATATCTAGATATTAATCGATTTTCATTTTTACGGAACAATATCGATTCTTAAATCCCAAGAATCGAATAGTCTAGCCTGTTTTCAATTAATGGACGGAACGTTGAAGGGCACTTCCCATCCAATATATCGCAATAAGCAATGTGCTTTGGTACTTTTAATATGAAACAAAGTCTCAGATTTCAAATTCTGTCCATTGTATTGCAGTATTCAAACAATAAATGCTGTTTTGGCGCTGTTTAATGTGGAGGGACAGATCGCTGTAGCGCCTCGGTTCAACAGATGCGGCAGCGCATAGTGCACGTGAACTGATCATCTCCTCCACATTAATACCAGTTTCAGCACAAAAGAAACATGACTAAACATCCGAAGGTAAGTTAAAAGAAAGAGTACAACTTTACAATCCGTATCCTGTCTCATGTAATCGCTCAATCAGTGTTTCCTCCACGCAAAGACGTCAATATAACGTCTTGTAAACAATGCCATGTAACGTCACATTTACCTCAGAAAAACATATTCAGTGACCATAAACTCATTAGTTCGAAAAATAAACTGTAGAGAGGGTCATTTTGCTAAATATATGCCATATAACATATTCATTATAATTTTTACTGTTCTTCTATGTTTCATTTATGTTTGAATAAATCCAAGTTTTTATGACAGCCACCATTGTTTATATAAAAAAAACGAATTGAAGTAGAAATATTATTATGTAATTGTTACATTTATTATTTAAAAAAACTTAATTAAGTGTAATTTTAACAAATCAGTCAATTTTAACCTTCAATATTATAGTAATGTAGTACCAACTGACTCTCATGT